GCTCCAGAGAATCTGCCGCTGCTACCGACAGAATCGGTTCCCGGTGGTCTGTTGGAGGAACCCCAGGACCAAGGCCGTCCTGCTGCGGTCCGCAGGCCTCCACGCCAAAGGTGTCGTGGGCTTCTTCAAGTCCTCCAACGCCCCCACTGCAGGTACGGAAAAGAACTACATGTATTTTACACGTTCACTGACCTTTAGAGGGCGTCGTGGACCAGACGGGGCCCCTGAGCCAGGAGTTTGACACCAGCTGTGTTCAGCTTCTAAAAAAACAAACATAGATATAAATTCCAGCCTAAGGTTCTGGTTGTTTGTCACGTGACTGACACCTGGTGTTCAGTTCAAGGATTTCAGTTTTTGAATGTTTTGCCGTCTGTTTTCTCATCACCTTGACGACCGGTCTGAACGACCGTCGTTGTGTCTCCTCCGTCCGGTCGGTGTCTGTCACTAAAGCGTCCCCTGATGTCCCTCTGTCCCCAGTGCCGTCCCAGGCTGAGTCCACCAGTCTGGAGCAGGAGAAGTACCTGCAGGCCATCATCAGCTCCATGCCCTCCTACAGCGAGAGCAGCGGCAGGAACACGCTGAGCGGCTTCAGCTCCACGCACATGAACACGTCAGGTGGGTACATCCTCTTCATCCTCTTCATCATCTTCATCATCGTCGTCATGTGACCATGTGACCAGCAGTAACACAGCTCTCTCCTCACAGACTCGTCAGATAAACTCCGACAGCCAAAGATCGGCGCTCTGATGAAGCAGGTGATGGGAACCAGAGACGACGTCCCCGGGACCTTCAGCAGAGGAGGTACGACGCCACATTCACTTACACCCCCGCGTCTGTGTGTGTGTGTGTGTGTGTGCGTACATCCGTCCACGACGGTGTGTGTGTGTGTGTGTGTTGTTGGTTAACTGGCCATCTCTGTCATTTGACCTTAGCTCTGGGTCAAAGGGCGAAAGTCGTCTCCCTCTCTCAGCCCAGGGCCAGGAATTCTACGAGAGGTACAGTAGGCCACGCCCCCTTTCCCTTGCACTCCTGTCCAATCAAGGTCATCGACCTCTCTAACAGTAGTGTTAGTGTGTGTGTGTGGGGGGGGCGGGGACTAATGATCAGTCTGTGTTTTTAACAGAGCTCGGCCGCTCTGTGTGTGTGGTGGGCAGTGCTGACCTCTGACCTCTGACCTCTGTCTGTTTGATTCCACCTGTCACTCAGCTCGGCGTCGCAGACTTGATTGTCGTTTGTCGTTTCTCTCTGTGTTTTAGCAGCATGGCTGTTAGCAGCTGTTGATTGGTTGGGGTTTTTCTTCTTCTTTTTTTTTTTTTTTCGAGGATAATTCCGACCTGATTGGCTAACGAATCGATGCTCGTCCGATCACGATCACCAAGAGATAAATATTGACTGTATCTGCTGTAAGTGTTGGTCTCTGTGTGTGTTTTAGGGAAGTGGGGCAGTATTCGAGGCACCGGGCGTCTTAGTGCCTACAACCCAGATGTTGGGACACGTCTGGCTGGTAAAGAGTCTCCGCAGCTGAACGGCGGCCCCAGTGAGGCGCTGTTCTTCCGCCAGCAGAGGGCCTACCTCTACATCATTGGAGATAAGGCCCAGTTGAAGGTAGGTCTGTTCTGACACCATCACTGCCCCCCTCTGGTCACTGCAGTCACTGCAGTCACACGACTTAACTCATTTATTTTAATCTACTTCTTTTTAGCAAACGAAAAAAAAAATCTAGCTTTATTTTCTACCACTAGATGGAGACCACGAGTGGCACACACACCATAGTTTGAGAATGCATTTGTCTTTGTCCTTCGTTGAGTTCTCAGTGAACTGAACTGACTTGTGTTGTGACTTGGTGACTTGTTTTCAGGGGGGGAAGCAGGACTCGTTCCAGCAGTGGGAGGTTCTTCCCATCGAGGTTTGTGACGTGCGTCAAGTGAAGAACAGCTTCAAGAAGCTGATGAAGGCCTGCGTCCCCAGTTCTCCCCTCCTAGATCCCAGCACCAGTTTCCTGCGCTGCCTGGAGGAGTCGGAGTGGATGGTTCTGGTCAGTCTGGACCGGACCTCGGTGTGTTTGTTCCACTGGACTCTTTGATGTGTGTGTTCTGATCTCCTCTCTGTCGGTGTGTGTGTGTGTGTGTGTGTGTGTGTGTGTGTGTGTGTAGCTGCACAAGGTTCTGCAGGTGTCCGTCCTGGTGGTGGAGCTCCTGGACTCTGGCTCCTCGGTCATGGTCAGCCTGGAGGACGGCTGGGACGTCACCACGCAGGTCACAGCTTCTGCACCGACGTCAGCCGAACGCCGTTGTGTCCGTGAGACAGAGTGTAACGTGAGGTCTGTGTGCAGGTGGTCTCTCTGGTCCAGCTGCTCTCCGATCCGTACTATCGAACCTTCGACGGGTTCCGGCTGCTGGTAGAGAAGGAGTGGCTGTCGTTCGGCCACAGGTTCAGCCACCGCGGCGCTCAGACTCTGGCCAGTCAGAGCAGCGGCTTCACCCCCGTCTTCCTGCAGTTCCTGGACTGCGTCCACCAGGTTGGTCTACGTCCAGGCCGTCTGCCGTTCACGTCCCGGTCCGTGTCGTCCTCACCCCCGTCTCCGTTCTCCCTCCCCCTCAGATCCACCTCCAGTTCCCCATGGAGTTTGAGTTCAGTCAGTATTACCTGAAGTTCCTGGGATACCACTACGTGTCCAACCGCTTCCGCACGTTTCTGCTGGACTCTGATTACGAACGCATCGAACTGGGTGAGAACTCTGTCAGCGCTGGTTTCACCTGTTGACGTAGAGACACACACCTGCTGCTAACACCTGTGTGTGTGTGTGTGTGTGTGTGTGTGGACAGGTGTCCTTTATGAAGAGAAGGGTGAGAGGAGAAGTCCTCAGGTGTGTAAGTCTGTGTGGGACTACATCGACAGACTCAACAAGAAGACACCGATCTTCTACAACTACATGTTTGCTCCTGAGGACGACGAGGTCAGGCGTCGAACTACAGACCGTGATCTGACGTTTGGTTGTTTGGTTGTTTATTTAAGAGTTGATTTGTTCTCCAGGTTCTACGACCGTACACCTTCATCTCCAACCTGAAGGTCTGGGACTTCTACATGGAGGAGAGACTGTCGGAGGGGCCGTCCTACGACTGGGAGGTCAGGGGTCACGAGCGGGTGGCAGAGGAGACCCCGGAGAAACCCGACAGCAGCGGACCAAAGTCGCAGCGCAGCTTCGTCTGGCCGTGTTACCAGAACCTGGACAAGGTGGTGCCTGACGCCATCACCAAGCTGCTGCAGGACCTGCAGAGGCTGGAGACGGAGCTGGGACAGACGTCGGAGAAGTGGAAGGACACCTGGGATAAGATGAAGACCACGCAGAAGACGGAGACCAAACTAGAGAGCAAGGTGAGTCTCTGTAACTGACACCGGCCGCCACAGGAGGCGCCATTGGGGACATGTGGATCCTCTGGGACAAAACAGGTTAAAAATGGTTGATAACGATTCACTGTTGTAAAACAGTGGTTCACAACTGACACGTCAGGTCACTGACAGTTCAGGTCACTGACACAGGTCACTGCCACGACAGGTCACTGACGGGTCAGGTCCCTGACATGTCAGGTCACTGACACGTCAGGTCACTGACAGGTCAGGTCACTGACAGGTCAGGTCACTGACAGGTCAGGTCAGGTCACTGACAGGTCAGGTCACTGACCCTCTCTCCTCCTCCTCCGCCTCCTCCTCGTCCGCCTCCTCCGGGTCTGCCTCCTCTTCCTCCTCCTGGTCCTCCCCTTCCTCCTCCTCCTCCTTCTCTTCCTCCTCCTCCTGCTCCTCCTCTTCCTCCTCCTGGTCCTCCCCTTCCTCCTCCTCCTCCTTCTCTTCCTCCTCCTCCTCTTCGTCTTCCTCCTCCTGGCCCTCCTCTTCCTCTTCCTCCTCCTCCTCTTCGTCTTCCTCCTCCTGGCCCTCCTCTTCCTCTTCCTCCTCCTCCTCCTCTTCGTCTTCCTCCTCCTGGTCCTCCCCTTCCTCCTCCTCCTCCTCCTGTCCCACAGCCCTCGTTCTCCGGCTCCCTGCTGATGTCGTCCAAACTGAGCCACCAGCGGCGTTCTCAGGGCGTCTACCTGCAGGACAGCGGTGTCGGACCCTCCATCAACCTGGCTCTGGACTGTGAGGCCAGCGCCACCTCCACCCCCGTCCCCGGGCGTCCCAGCACCAGCACCCTCTACAGCCAGTTCCAGAGCACGGAGAGCGAGAACAGGTCGGTACCAGTGTGGTCATTCAGACCTGAAACAGGAAGTGGAGACCGTGGACGGTCGGTCAACGCTGCGACTTCTGTCTCTGACTTTGAATGAACGAGTGTCAAAGGTTTTTCTGTCTTCACTCACAGGAGTTTTGAAGGAATCCTCTACAAGAGGGGGGCGCTGTTGAAACCATGGAGGCCGCGGTGGTTCGTCCTGGACAAAACCAAACATCAGCTTCGATACTACGAGAGCCGACAGGACAAGGAGTGTAAGGGTGCCATCGACCTGGCGGAGGTGGAGTCGGTCACTCCAGGGACCCCCACCATGGGGGCGCCCAAGAACATAGAGGAGAAAGCCTTCTTTGACGTGAGTCTTGGTTTGGACGTCCCGAGGTCTGGGACTGTGAGAATAAAGAACAAACGTGACGTTAGTGAGAGCGTGCGTCGTGTCGTCGCACGACCGTACGTTCAGTCACAGTGTTAGCATGTAGCATTAGCTGCTGTGTTTGATCCTGTGGTTCCTGATACGACCACCCTGTGATGATAGTGTGTGTGTGTGTGTTCCACACTCACCTGTCTCCCCCCCCCCTCCTGTTCCTCTGTTCCAGCTGAAGACGACCAAACGCGTCTATAACTTCTGCGCCCAGGACAGTCTGAACGCTCAGCTGTGGATAGACAGCGTTCAGAGCTGCTTGTCCGACGCCTAGGTGACGGGACGGAGCGGTGACGGACAGCTGCGGCTGGGCGGGACTGAGCAGTGCTGACGGACCAATCCCAGCGACCCAGGACGAGGGCGGGGCCTTTCATCATTTAAGCTTGACTGTGTTTCCCAGTGCTGAACGAAAAACCTCCAGTGTTTTTGTTATAAAAAAGAGAAAAAAAAACCAAAAAAAAACCCAGATGTTTAGAACCACTCGCTGTCGTCTCTACAAGAAGCTTCAGCCTCGACCGACGCCACGGTCGGACCACGACGCACGTGCACAGGAGCAATGCATATTAAAGCCAGTGTGAGGCGCTCTGCAGCTTGGAGCAGCATGAGGACGATGAAGATGATGGTGAAGATGGTGAAGATGGTGAAGATGATGATGATGATGATGATGATGATGATGATGAAGATGATGGTGACTCCACAACCTCTCCTTACTAACACCACTGGTCCAGTCAGTAGAACAGTCGTCAGGGCAACGGAACATTAGACTTGTCCTGGAGAAGGGTTGACGGACGGGTTGACGGATGAGTTGACGGACGGGTTGACGTTGACGGATGATTGGCGGAGGAGTTGGCGGATTAGTTGGCGGACGGGTTGACGGATGAGTTGACGGACGGGTTGACGGATGAGTTGACGGACAGGTTGACGGACCAAAATGACCCAGAAGAACAAACGTATGGACGGCGGTCCCTCCAGGGTTCTGTTGTTGTTTCTGAACCATCAGCCACTGTGACACAGTCAGAGGGAAACAGGAAGACACCCCCCCCCCTCCACCTCCAACAGATCATGAAGGACTCCCCCCCCCCACACACACCTCCAAATTTACAGTTTTGGCCCAGAGCGTTGGACGAACAGAGAGGAACACTGTGAGGCCACGGCCAATGGGAGACGAGAAGCGTCAGGGATTTAGAGTTGATCTTTGACAGTGTTTACACACACACACACACACACACACACACACGTACGTACGCAGACGTCGGTGAGATCAGAGCGAAGTTTCAAAGTACTCCACAGAAACTGTGTCAGGTGGAAAACTGCAGTATTTTTCAAATTCACTTTAACTGTGTCCAGATTTCAGGAACTAACTCTGGCTGTTGACTGCCCCCTACAGGCACCAGGAACCGACGGTCACCGTGACTGTAAGAGAACTGAGGTTTTTTTTTTTAATTCAAGTTTCAGTTTTGGTCAGTGAAGTGGTCAAAGACTCTCCTGATTGGCTACCGCGAAGTGATTGACGTTCGTTTTTGTTAGGGATGTAACGATGCACTCAACTCACGATGCGATTTGATTCACGGTTATTTGTTCACGACACCATTTTATGACGATTATTTTTAAACAAAAAGAACTCCTGTAAAATTAAATTTGTAAAATCACCAACTGAAATACTGCCACCTACTGTACTGCAGGGTGTAGTGTCATGGTATGACCAGTGACTTTTTGAGCTACTCCTTACGCCTTAATGAACAATTTTTTTTTTAATTTCAACCGATGAGAAATTGTCACAGATTTGTAACGATTTTTAACCGATTCGTCGTTACAGCCCTAGTTCTCATTGGGGGGTTCACCGTCCTCGTTTCTGCATCATCCAATGACCACGGTCGGTGTGAGGGTGAGGATTAAAAGAAGCGCCTGAATCAGACGAACGCTCTTTCCCACTATCACTGTTCCCTGTGGAGGGGGAAGTGGGTTGAGGGTGTGTGTGTGTGTGTGGGGGGGGGGGGGGGGGGAGAGACAAGAAGGAGGTTGTATGTTGTATGGTCTGCAGGGGGCAGCGTAGATCTTCAGGTGTCACAATAGTAAATTCATTATTAATTGTGTAACACTACCTTTTCAGGGGGAGGGGGAGGGGGGCGGAGCCCACAGTCACACGGTGGGGTGGGCTCACGGGCCAAGATGAGGTTCAAAATGTGGCTGGCAGGCCGGTTTAGAGTTGGTTGGATGTAGAATGCTGGACGAAGTAGTTGATAGAAAATGTACAAGAATAAATTTAAAGTTAAGATGGCACATTTCATGTCTTCTGCCATCTAGTGGCATCAACAGAGATTACAGTAGATTCGCAGTACTGCATAAAAAAAAGAAGAAGGAGTGACGTCAGTCAGAGCGTCCGTTCACACCGAGGCTCAGACTCTCTGTAAGGCAGGACAACTAACCGCTGTTTCACTGTGTGGCCCCGGGTCAGGAGATTGAATTTGAAAACCACTGCAGTCTTAATATTATGGGATGGTGGGTGTGGTCTACGTCACCCGACCGACACAGTCGGACTTTAGTGTTTGTTACCGTTAGTGCTGGAACTACAGAGGAGTTTACATCCCAACATGACCCCCAGAATCTTCACCCCCCCCACAGACCCCCCCGAACCCCCCCAACCAGACCATCCGTACTAACACACGTCGTTCTGTAAAATAAGATTCTACTGCTGTTTTGTTGAACGTACATTTTTGAAATTGTAGATTTTTTTTTCTGTGCGTGTCTAATAACTCCTGTATATAATACTCCAGATTTGTATGTAACATTAAGGCTAGTAATTTATTTAACTTGTCTCCTCAGAAAGTTTCTCAAACACCACTTTATTTTTTAATTAGGAATTCAATGTGCCATTTGTTTATTTCTGTATTAATGTGACTAATGTTTTTTCCCGTTGTTTTTTTTTTTTTTTAACATGGTTGTTAATGCAGGATGGAGATGGTGCTTTTAAAGACTGTTGGATTTTACTGTGTTGGTCGGCCACTGTGGATGTAAATTACAGTCCATTAAATGTGAACGGAGACCCGTCTGCTAACTGACCTGTTGTAGTAAAGGTAGGCAAGTGTTTCATTGGCTGGTTAATAATTTAACTATTAAAACCAGTCGTCTGGTTCTGTGAGAGAACCAACCACCGGGCAGTTCTGCTGCCCTCTACCGGCAACAACGTCCTAGTCTGGAACAGAACTTTTAAGAGAAAGTCGGACCAAAATTAAAGAATAAATGTTTCCATATGAGCAGAACGTTCTTGGGTCGTCTGTCACAAACCATCACCTGGAACCAAGGTCCGGCCGCGACCCCGAACTAACGCCGCTCTACTGCCTGGTCTCATCCAGAACCTGTGAGTGATCATCAGATGTTCCGTAGAAAAATATCCGATTTCGCCCAATTAACCTGAAACTTTTTTTTTTTTAATTATTAATTAACTGTGAATAATTAGTCTTCGTTAGTTTTGGCAACATTGATAGGCAGAACAATTAAATATCTTCACCACTAGATGGCAACAGATTGCTGTAAAAGTAAAATAGACGTTGAGCCGTTAAAGAAAACTTAATCAAAACATAAATTCGGCGGCTGTAACCTAAAAATCATAGATATATTTGGATATTTTTATTTTTATACTGCATTATTGCTCAGTTTGTTTAACGTTGTCGCCATTTTGAATCAGGACCCTTACCCGCGAACATTGAACTTGGTGAGCCTTTGTATAATACGTACCTATCAATTTAACATAATATGTAAATTATTAAGAACACAGACATTATATTGTTGCGTCATTTCCGGTCTAGTATTTTCCACAACGATATACAAGCACGTTAACGGTTCGGCGGATTTCTTAGGGATTTATACAAATAATAATAATAATTAATACTTTATAAATACTTAAATACTTCACCAGTTTGTTATTTTTTTGCTGCCATTCGTTTGTTTTTTGCATAGTATAACGTTTAAATACTTCACCAGTTTGTTATTTTTTGCTGCCATTCGTTTGTTTTGTTTGTTTTTTGCATAGTATAACAACATTACAACTTTATTTAGACATAAAACTCACAACATTATCTTTTAATCTTCAATCATTTTTTCAGGTATTTTTCAGATAAAGTACAAAGAACTAAATATCAAAACCCTGAGTTCTTTAGACGATCGGATCTTTCTTCTCTTTTTGGTAGAGGAATATTTCCTGGCGGTGCCACAAAATATTCTTCTTGAGTGTTTTTGGACAGTTGAAGCAGTCTGTCAGCACAGTACCCATCTGTCACTGCGTCATCTCTCAGGTGTAAAACCCCGTCTTCCAGAACTGAATCCATTGGTTCGATCCCAGTTGTGTCGACAACATGGAGCTGATCTGCAAACCTGATTGTTTCTTCCAAACAATCCAGGCCCTGTTTGGTCCGTAGGTCAACTAAAGCCAGCCGCTCCAGTTTGTCCAACAGATCTGCAGGGATTTGATTTGGTTTTTGGTTGTGTGTTGAAGAGCAGAACGGACGATTTATACAACTGACACGAATCTGCGAGAAGCGGACGTTTCCCCTTGTGATGAGCCCTTTGCTCTTGAAGTCGTTCAATAAAGATCCCACCGTTTTTAGAGTCGAGCCTCGGCACAAAGTCGCGGCAGTATAACTAAGCATCGACATTTCCTACACGGCTACGTCTCAGTTGTAAAGAAATTAAGTTTTTTTCTACCATTCGTTTATGTGGCAATAGTTATTGAGCGGCCGCGGCCATCTTTAATCTCGAAATGTTGCTTCTCGCGAGATTACATTGTTTGAAATTCAAACAATCGAAGCGGGAAAAAATGATAAATAGATAACTTCAGGAGTTGGGCGGAATTATTTTAGTTTGTTTATAAATTTATACGTTTGAGTAGACATTTCACAGCTATCACGTGACTTGACGTTCGAAACGTCACCGTTACTTCACAGGTGGATTTAATAGTTTGGACTATTTTGGCTGTAACGTCTGTGTATTTGGTTCTTCGGAGTCTAGTGGGAGGAGGGCGTGGCTTATTGGTGAACAACGTTTGATTAGAAACAGTCTCCAGTTTTCAAAGTCATTCCCTGAACACGGGACACACACCGTGATTTACTTCGGCTAATGTAGTCATTTTCTACTGTAGTTATTATGATGACAGCTTTACAAACCCCTAAACAGTGTTATTATGATGACAGCTTTACAAACCCGTAAACAGTTCAGTCAGTTATGACAACGACGGTTCGACTTCCGGCCCCACAATCACACCGACACCAATCAATCAAAGTCATTATCTAATCAGAACCGTAAGGACTTCACAAACAGCAAGACATTAATAATCGACAGAGGGGAAAAAAAAAACAATTCTCTTACCATGAAGACGTTTATCATAACAGGGTAGAAAGACGATCCACGGTGAAACACGCTCGGTGAACTGGGAGTGAAACGTGTAATTAGCTGAATCAGATTCAGGTGCGTCGACGTTTCTCCGTCTGTAGTTTCAGAACCCAGGATTTTTTATTTATTTACTAGTTTACTTTCAAATATTAGACTATAGTACACATATATGCAGTACTTCTTTTCTTCAAAATTATAAATAGACACAGGTCTTTCCTGGGGGGTGGGGGGCCCACGGTTGTTCCAGGGATAACTGCAGAGGGCGTTCAACCACCTCACTGGCGCCGCCTATTGTTAGACATGACAAAACCTATTAAAAACAATATTAGCTCTACTGGATAGTAATTTTTTGCCCTTGAGGAAAGTGTTTAATAAAATACTTTAATTAAGAATGAGGTAAATGAATATATATACGTATATATTTTTATATACATACATATAAATATGTACTCACTGTTTGTACTAAACTGTATACAGTATTTAACAAATCTACTTTTCCAAAAATACTTTTTTTTTATTTTTTATTGACCATAGAACCCCGGTGCAGAGTTTAAAACCCAGATTTACGAGGCCCGATCAGAGACCACTATCCTGGGACTTCAGACCAGGTTTGAACCGTTCTAAGAAACGACGCCATCTTCAGTCCCAGACCAGCGTTGACAGACAGAGAGACACCAGGCAGAGGGCTGAGGCCACAGCTTTGGTATTAATGTGGTCAACCAGACGCTTTTAATTTCAATCAGTTTTTAACTGCGATCCTAGAATCCGATCGCTGCCAAATGATTTCATTAAAATACACCAGCAGAGGTCTGGAGCTCCACAGAACCCTGCAGACCCGCTCTGTCCAAATCCTGCCGCTCACAGAGGAAGAAATCTTAACTTAAAAAAAAAGAAAAACAAAAGAACAAACATACAGCATCGCTCTGACCAGACGCCACTCTCGCCCTGTGATTAAGTGCACGGTGGAGAGAGAGAGAGAGAGAGAGAGAGAGAAAGAGAGAGAATGAACAAACAACGGTAATCTCAAAACTGCTCGTAAAACGACTGTTAAATGTAGATAATATGGGTGTGTAAATACGTAGGTAGATAATGTTTGGTTGATTTAAGGGGGACAGTAATAAGAACTCAAAGATCAATACAATCAGACGGTCGGAGCTCACGAGCTCGGTCAACCGAGGACCACTGACACATGCACTACATAGAGAAAAAGGCTTTGGAAAAAAGAAGAACAATTTAAAATCTCATCCAAATTAAATTCAAATTTTTCCTCTGCAGGTGAGTCTCCAACGTCAGACCGATTCTTTAAAAAAAACTGGATGAAATTCTTTTTTTTTTTTTTAATTAAATGGCTAATTGATATTATTGCACATGATGCGAAAGACAGTAATACTATTAGAACTCTGATCCTGGACCTCCTCCTCCTCTGACTTTAAAAACATTCAGAGACCTGGTAATTCAACATGACATCAGCAACGACAACCAAAGGGGAGGGGGGAGTTTGGGGGGTGGGTTGTGTGCGGGGGTCCACACTCTCATTGTGCTCTTTATACAGTAAAAATGGCTGCATAAGTGCTTTCTCTTCAGCTTGTAGGAGAAAAAAAAAAGAGTAAAAAACAAACATCACTGTTGAGGCATCGTATCAGACTGTGCTCTCTGTTCAGGGGACCACCGGGTCAGACCACCGGGTCAGACCCCCCCCGTCAACAGGGCTGAACATGAGGGACATGGGAGTAAGGATGAAGTGAGACCCTCGGACTGTGGTTCAGAGAGTGCTGCTACATCAGGACCGCACTGGATTCTGTGCAACATCAGAAAAAAAGGCTTTAAAGATGACTCCTCTCCCCGCCCCCCCGACCGCCGCTCTGTCCGTTGGTTTGCTTATTATCTTCTTTTTTTTTGTTTTTTGTTTTGTTTTATTACATGACATATAATTTTTTTTTTCCTTTTTACACTTCCCGCCGCCTCATTATTGGTGTTGATTGGCAGTGTCCGGTCCAATAACATGGCAGAGTGATTCAGTAAAAACACCGTAGCTGCAGTGAGGTTATTTTGTGGGAGTCACTCTGGGGGAGGCTGACGGTCCGCAGCGTCGTCACTGCCGGAGCTCGGCGACAGGTGGCGCTCACACCGGGCCGTTGACCGACACCTCCTGTGGTGGTGGTGATTCCTCTCTGTTGGCGTGACAGGGAAAAGTCAAAATCGGACTCCTGCCTGGGTCACATGGTCTGAACGTGAACGTGTTATTAAAAAAAACTGAAGTTAATCCAGAGAAATTAAAATTAAAAACTAGAAATTAAATGAAAAATTCTGTAATCACGTGACTATGAATCGCCTCCAGCATCACTGACTAAAACACAGCTGTAGCAGTTTGACAACTGGAGGGGCGCGGGCTCCCCCTGGTGTTACTTTTAAGTCACTGCAGGTGGGGAGTTCAGGAGGAAAGTGCTGAAGGTCACAAACGTCAACATCAACTGGTAATTATCTCTAAACCTGACGTCATTGGTTCTCATTTGTTCTTCTCTCTTCAGGTGTTCAACTCCCAACGTCAAACTTACTTCCTGTCGCTCTGTGTGTTTACAGCGGCGTCGCCTCCAGGCTGCTGCTCTGAGGCTTTTGGAGGATCTGACAGAGAGAGTTTCTCCAGAGACACTGCAGTCTCCTCACTGTAACACACACACACACACACACACAGTTATGAACATCTTTTTTTATCCACAACAGCAGAGATTGTTTTGAAGAGATCAAAACTCTAGAGTTCATGTGCAGAACATTTCTCCTGCAGACGCTCGTGTTCCACTTCATTTTAAATGCACCAGAGGAACACTCTGCCCACGTTCAGAACCATTTCTAGTCCTGGTTCCTGTTCCTTCTTTTAGACCCAGAGTTTGTGCAGAGGAGATGGCAGTGAACTGGAGAAACCTCCAGAACCGACTCCACTGAGAGCAGCACAGACTAAATGTAGATTTCTTAAATCTGAACAGAACCTACAATTACAACCAACCACACACACAGACAGAGTGGCCTGGTCAGGGGAGGGCTAACCCACTCCACTGACCTCAAGACTCCCAGCTTTAGATTCAGACCTTTTGGGGTCGACCTTTTCGTTGGTCGGGTTGCCAGGTTTTTCTGAGGCGACGGTTTCCGCTGGAGGAGCAGCGGCGTTCTTCTCCTCCTCCTCGCTGTCGGATCCTCCTGAGGAGCTGCCGTCTGAGGCCACCAGGGGAGCTTTTCTCCCTTCTCCTGCGGCCCAAGCGTCTGGAGTGGAAGCAGCGCCTACTTGTGGACACAGAAGAAACACTGAGAAAACCAAGACTAATTACAGAGACCCTGTAACAACGGTTGGACCAGTCCAGATCAGTCCAGACCAGTTGGACCAGATCCTTCAAAGACACACACACCTGGACCATCGCCGCTCTTGTCGTGGTTCTGTGTGGTCTGTTTGTCCGACTCCCTGCGGCCGGGGTCCACAGGAGAACTGCACCGTGGACCAGTCTCTCTGCTGTAACAACAACAACAACGTGTCATTGGTCCTGATTTATTTAAACTCAACAAACATTTTACATTTTTTGTGTGTGATTTTAGATTTAAGAAGAACGATCCAAACGTGTGGGAACTCCTCGTCAACTCACCCGGAGAAAGGCTGGAACTCGGTGAAGTTGGCCCAGCCTGTGGCCTGTGGGTCAGCCGGACCCCCGGCCGAGCTCTCCCACCCTGCTGAGGTCTGAGAACCTGTGTTTCCTCCAGAGTCCCGGAAACTGGATGTCCAACTAGGAGCTGGGAAAAGAGTCAGAGTTTGGATCCAGAGGTTTTAGAGACAAAAACACACACTTTCAGCTGTACATGTACTACAGACAGAGGGCGCTACTCTGAATGCCTACCTGTATCTGAGGTGTTGGACTCCGACTCTGCTTCCTCATCAGATTCTGAGCCACAGTCCTGCTCCCGGCCTCCGTTCTCCAGGCTGCTCCTGGAACTTCCCTCTGAAGTTTGGGAAACTCCAAACCTGGGAAACAGGAAGGACGACAGCCGCAGGTTGAAGAACATCAACGTCAACGTCATGAGGGTGAGTCGACAAGTCAACTGAAGACTGGTTCAGGTTTAACCTTGTCCTGGATTTAGCTTGTGTTGCATAGTTGATCTCCTTCTCCTCCCAGATGTCCTCCTCCTCCTCGTTGTCGTCGAACTGGCGTATCCTCTCCTTACAGCAGGCCTCGAAGGCTGCTGCGTTGGCCTGACAACAACAAGACGTTTGAGTAGATTTGACTTTTAGATTTAAAAAAGATTAAACAAAAAAAAATTGATTTACATCAGAACAGTGTGTTAACCTGTTAAATTAGCATACGCCGCCACGCTAACATACACCCACTGTTCCCACTCACACACATCTGTGGCTGAACGGTTGTTTTTTTATGGACAGTGGTAATAAATTCATGTCATTTTATTTACATTAAGTTGTAGATTTTTTTTCCTACAAAGATGTTCCCTTTTTTTCTTTTTTGCCTACGTTTGTGGAATAGATTCAGTTTCCTGAAATAAAACCACAACTGTTGTAGTAAAATGACCAACAACCACAACCATGGCCGCTCTGCCGTCTCGCTACAATTTCACTCCTCTTTTTCTGCCGTACACGTGGTCACGTGACAAACGTTCAGAGACGACAAACACACGTGTCATCACTTACACTGTTGTCATCAGCGTCCAGGTTGAAGTTGATTTCAGCGATTCTGTCAAACGTGGCACTGGAGGGAAAAAAAAGAACATAACGAAGTGTCAGGACGTTGGTCGACTGGTCATGTGATCTGGTGTGGGACGATGGGTGGTAGAGAGTGGAACCCCAGACTGGATTAGAGGGGGAGGACTAGTAGAAACGATACTTACTTGATGTTTTCATCGTGCTCACTGAACTCCTCGTCGTTGAAGCCAAACTGATCCACGAAGTTGGCCGTCATCTGCTGTATCTGATAGTCAGAGAACGCCTGAGGAGGAGTGGACAACAACGTTAGACCTGTGGTGCTCAATCTATGGTTCACAGACCACTGGTGAAATTCAGGTTTCCCTCTAGTGGTGTGGAATAAGAGAGGGAAAAAAGAAAAGCGTGGGAACCACAGACTAATTAGACCCAGTTCTAGTTTGTCCTGTGTGGTTTGGGATGTCTCTGTCTGGTTGTGGTTTAGGACTGAATTTTAGAGAAAGTTGTTGAACTGGATCACATGACACAACAATAACAGGACATAGATCCTCGTCCTTGTGCTACCTGTGCTGCTGTATTCTAACGTCAGGTTCCTGTAAAGAAAGGAACTCTTTCCACTTCCTGTTTGTTCTTCTTCTGTGGTTTTTTCATATATTGACAGTTAACCAGGTCAACCAGACCAGTTTGACCAGTTTAATCAGAGCAGATCAATGGTGATGTTCCAGTGATGCTGGACAGAAATGGGACTTTTTTTCTCTTTTGTTATTGAACAGAACAGTGTCAGTTGATGAGGTTCACAGACCACGTCAGTTGGTGATGGGATTTGACCCAGTTCTGACAAAGAGAGGAGATCAGTGGATTTGGTCACAGTTTGACTGGAACTTTGTGATAAAACCACATCGTGAACAATAAAAAGTAGTGAATCCAATCGTCTGGTGACACGTCGGCCGTACCATCAAGTACCAGGAACTAACCCCTGGTGTTTGCCCTGAGCACAGTATGAGGTCGGGAGAGTCCTAGTGTCTGTGGCAGTGGGTCTACCTCACCTGCTGCAGGGACAGGTCGTTGGGGAAGGGGCTCTCCATGTCGTCGTCCTCACTGGACGAGTGCATGTTGTGGGTGCTCACCTGCAGACACACGGTGGAACAGTGGGTTTCACTGACCAATGTTCCATCATCGGCTGTTCTACTGGACCGAGGTGGACGGTACTCACCAGCTCCACTGTGTTTCTCCGGTTGGTTTCTCTCAGGGTCTCGTCAACGAAGCTCCCCCAGCGACCCCTGCAGTCCTCCGGCAGCTCTGCGGTTTAATTCACAGCACAGCGTTTCAAGGTTATTGGAATCAACAGGAGTCTCTCCCGCAGCTGACCTGTGAACTTTTGGTCACCTTTTATGAGGTCAGCGATCTGGGCCTGCACTGGTCCCTTCTCCAGGTTCTGGACCACCATGTTTGCAATCCTGGTCAGGTGACCCATGTTGCCTCTCCTGGTCCCTCCCTCTGCCCTGAGATTTACATTAAACACTAATGGTGAAAAACACGTCACAGTGACACAGGAATGTGACTGGTTATTGGTAATAAATAAAGAAATCAATACATTGATGGAGGATATTGATACTGAAATATTGTGATATTTCAGTGTATGTTATATTTTTACACCCTGTACTAAAGTAGACGTTGGCACAAACACAGCTCCTCTCACTGTATTCTATCGTTCTCCTCCCAGGCGTCCAGGATCCTCTGAACCAGTCGACAGTTTTGGAAGAGCTGAGAGAGAAAAGAAGGTGTGAGTCAACCGGTGTGTGTACTGCAGCCGTCCACTGGTACAATCAGTAAATAATGACTCATGGACAAATGAATTCCATGCTGGGTGGTCCTGACCGCACACACACACACACACTACATCCTGTGCCACCTACATGGGCCACGAAGGCGTTGTGGACGGAGGTCTGTGGGTCACTGGTCCTGCCTGTCTCCACATCCTCCCCTTGCACCTCGGGATTGGACGCTGCAGAATTCCCATTGAGGTTCTGGAGGCCTGGGTTGAGTCGCTCCTCTGAGGAAGGGTGGTTCAGGATAGCTGCCACACACAGCTCCACTTGGAAGTGCAAAAAATTATTCCAGGAGTATTTGAAGAACAAGTCCTGGATGGAGGAGAGAGAAGAGGAAGGATGTGTCAGAGAAACAGAAAAAAAAGATCTCCCAATTAAATTATTAGAAAAACAGCACATCTGAACAGAAAGCTCTTCTTTGGATCCAGGTTGTTCAACAACAGAACAATATTGTTCTGTTGTTGAACTGGAAGAGGTTACAGTTCTTCTGTTGACCTGCTCAGAGAGGCCACGCCCACTCTCTTTTTATTACATAAACGTGACTGCCTCATGACTCTGCAGATGTTTTGATGACGACAGACTCTGAGACAAAGTTCCCACTTTCGGCCTCGTCGTACCAGTAGTAGATCCATGGTGGCTAGATTGCAGAGCTCCTGACAGATGCTGGGGTCATTGGTCTGCAGAAGGGCGGCCACCAGTCGGGCCACATGAAGACGGGCGTTCCCCAAAGGCTGCTCTAAAAGGCCAACGGTCGTCAATATTGCACTTTTCTGAAATCACAAGAGATGAAGATCGTTGACTTGTGTCGTTGTTCAAGTTCAATGGAATTCATGTGCTGTAACAGGTTAGAGCTCAGCAGAAAGGAGTGACTTTTGTCAAAGAATGAAAGGATAATGTGTAAGCCCTGCAACGGAAACAGAGTAAGTCCAGGCTCTGCTTCATCATCAGCACTTTACCTTGGGGGGATCTAGAAGAAGCTGCTGGAAGTCCTTTAAATGGGGCTCAATGGCATTTAAAATACTGCTGTTGACAGTGTAAGACCTTTCATAACCCTGAGAATACAGATCCATCAGCCCCTCCAGCCTGAGGGAAACAAGTAGGGGGAAAAAAACACATGACTTTGGTGTCTTAGGTGTCAGCAGAGCTCAGAGAAACCAAACAACCACACCTCCTAACATTTACATTAAAAACAAAAGAGCCTTGACTCACCCAGACCTCCTGGTCTCCAGTAAGGTAAGTAGCACTTGAGTTCCATTAACGATGGAGGCCTCACTTCTCTCCCCCTCAAATAAGCTCTTGAGGAGCCCAGCTACCGTCTCCTGCCTGAGAAATCCACAGTCATTTGATCAAAAACCAACACTGTGACTTCATGGCTAAATCATTCAGGAAGTTGATGACGAAACGACGTCCATCTGATTAGAGTTCTTTTCATATATTGACAGTTAACCAGGTCAACCAGACCAGTTTGACCAGTTTAATCAGAGCAGATCAATGGTGATGTTCCAGTGATGCTGGACAGAAATGGGACTTTTTTCTCTTTTGTTATTGAACAGAACAGTGTCAGTTGATGAGGTTCACAGACCACGTCAGTTGGTGATGGGATTTGACCCAGTTCTGACAAAGAGAGGAGATCAGTGGATTTGGTCACAGTTTGACTGGAACTTTGTGATAAAACCACATCGTGAACAATAAAAAGTAGTGAATCCAATCGTCTGGTGACACGTCGGCCGTACCATCAAGTACCAGGAACTAACCCCTGGTGTTTGCCCTGAGCACAGTATGAGGTCGGGAGAGTCCTAGTGTCTGTGGCAGTGGGTCTACCTCACCTGCTGCAGGGACAGGTCGTTGGGGAAGGGGCTCTCCATGTCGTCGTCCTCACTGGACGAGTGCATGTTGTGGGTGCTCACCTGCAGACACACGGTGGAACAGTGGGTTTCACTGACCAATGTTCCATCATCGGCTGTTCTACTGGACCGAGGTGGACGGTACTCACCAGCTCCACTGTGTTTCTCCGGTTGGTTTCTCTCAGGGTCTCGTCAACGAAGCTCCCCCAGCGACCCCTGCAGTCCTCCGGCAGCTCTGCGGTTTAATTCACAGCACAGCGTTTCAAGGTTATTGGAATCAACAGGAGTCTCTCCCGCAGCTGACCTGTGAACTTTTGGTCACCTTTTATGAGGTCAGCGATCTGGGCCTGCACTGGTCCCTTCTCCAGGTTCTGGACCACCATGTTTGCAATCCTGGTCAGGTGACCCATGTTGCCTCTCCTGGTCCCTCCCTCTGCCCTGAGATTTACATTAAACACTAATGGTGAAAAACACGTCACAGTGACACAGGAATGTGACTGGTTATTGGTAATAAATAAAGAAATCAATACATTGATGGAGGATATTGATACTGAAATATTGTGATATTTCAGTGTATGTTATATTTTTACACCCTGTACTAAAGTAGACGTTGGCACAAACACAGCTCCTCTCACTGTATTCTATCGTTCTCCTCCCAGGCGTCCAGGATCCTCTGAACCAGTCGACAGTTTTGGAAGAGCTGAGAGAGAAAAGAAGGTGTGAGTCAACCGGTGTGTGTACTGCAGCCGTCCACTGGTACAATCAGTAAATAATGACTCATGGACAAATGAATTCCATGCTGGGTGGTCCTGACCGCACACACACACACACACTACATCCTGTGCCACCTACATGGGCCACGAAGGCGTTGTGGACGGAGGTCTGTGGGTCACTGGTCCTGCCTGTCTCCACATCCTCCCCTTGCACCTCGGGATTGGACGCTGCAGAATTCCCATTGAGGTTCTGGAGGCCTGGGTTGAGTCGCTCCTCTGAGGAAGGGTGGTTCAGGATAGCTGCCACACACAGCTCCACTTGGAAGTGCAAAAAATTATTCCAGGAGTATTTGAAGAACAAGTCCTGGACGGAAAGAGAGAGAAGAGGAAGGATGTGTCAGAGAAACAGAAAAAAAAAATCTCCCAATTAAATTATTAGAAAAACAGCACATCTGAACAGAAAGCTCTTCTTTGGATCCAGGTTGTTCAACAACAGAACAATATTGTTCTGTTGTTGAACTGGAAGAGGTTACAGTTCTTCTGTTGACCTGCTCAGAGAGGCCACGCCCACTCTCTTTTTATTACATAAACGTGACTGCCTCATGACTCTGCAGATGTTTTGATGACGACAGACTCTGAGACAAAGTTCCCACTTTCGGCCTCGTCGTACCAGTAGTAGATCCATGGTGGCTAGATTGCAGAGCTCCTGACAGATGCTGGGGTCATTGGTCTGCAGAAGGGCGGCCACCAGTCGGGCCACATGAAGACGGGCGTTCCCCAAAGGCTGCTCTAAAAGGCCAACGGTCGTCAATATTGCACTTTTCTGAAATCACAAGAGATGAAGATCGTTGACTTGTGTCGTTGTTCAAGTTCAATGGAATTCATGTGCTGTAACAGGTTAGAGCTCAGCAGAAAGGAGTGACTTTTGTCAAAGAATGAAAGGATAATGTGTAAGCCCTGCAACGGAAACAGAGTAAGTCCAGGCTCTGCTTCATCATCAGCACTTTACCTTGGGGGGATCTAGAAGAAGCTGCTGGAAGTCCTTTAAATGGGGCTCAATGGCATTTAAAATACTGCTGTTGACAGTGTAAGACCTTTCATAACCCTGAGAATACAGATCCATCAGCCCCTCCAGCCTGAGGGAAACAAGTAGGGGGAAAAAAACACATGACTTTGGTGTCTTAGGTGTCAGCAGAGCTCAGAGAAACCAAACAACCACACCTCCTAACATTTACATTAAAAACAAAAGAGCCTTGACTCACCCAGACCTCCTGGTCTCCAGTAAGGTAAGTAGCACTTGAGTTCCATTAACGATGGAGGCCTCACTTCTCTCCCCCTCAAATAAGCTCTTGAGGAGCCCAGCTACCGTCTCCTGCCTGAGAAATCCACAGTCATTTGATCAAAAACCAACACTGTGACTTCATGGCTAAATCATTCAGGAAGTTGATGACGAAACGACGTCCATCTGATTAGAGTTCTGGTCACTGTGTCGTTACGGTGACGCCTACAGTGATGAGACAAAAGTGTTTTTAACTTACGACTCTAGTACAGCCAATAGTGGGTCAGCCTCCATGTTCTCCTGCATCTGAGTGGCCTGGTCTCGACTGAGGCGGATGATGTCACAAAGCGTTTGGGATGCATTTGATTGTCTCTGAAAGATGTTTGTTTCATTAGCTCCTTATTTTTAAATTTACATTAGTCTGCATGGTATTTTATTTTGTTTAAACAACTACTTCTGTCCACTCAACTAAAATATGAATGTAATAATTATAGAAATGTATGCAGCAGTTGTGAGGAATATGTTGACAAAACCAAATCCCACCTCCTCATCTTTACCAGTATGGATAAGCTCTATGAGTCTTTGTACCAGATTTTCCTCGTTCAGCCACTAGGGTGAAAGACATTTTTTTAAAAATTCGTTCAGATACTTACAGGGTTACATTGGGTCAGATGATGGACAAAAACAACACTCACATGAAGAACCTCCTGCCTCAAGGGGGCGGGCTCCACACAACTGATGAGGCGAAGCAGCAGGTCCATCATGGCAGAGGCATCAATATGTTTCAGCACCAGACCGATGAACCCTTCCTTTCTCCTCAGAAAGGTAATCACCTGCAGAAACAGACGTACCTTTGTTACATGTCACATGACTTCATGTGTGTCTTGTTTGTTCTTTTTTTTTACAGGCTGTGACTCCTCATCTCTACCTGCTCTGTTTTCCTGGCTATCAGATTGCCGATGGTTTTGCTGAAGAAGCTGGCCAGCAAAGGATTCAAGGGCGGGTCCTGTTCCAAGAAGTGGTAGAGCACCTCGAGAAGAGACTCGTCCCCACCCAGCTTATCATTTATAATGGACACATCTGAGGTCAGGAGCTCACACGCGATATTTGGGAATCTGGGAAGAAAACCAGGATAACAGGGTTTTGGTTTTAAAGTGATGAAAAAGCAGCAATTAAAAAAAACGTTTACTATTCAAACACATCAGACAGAGCAGCTGTGGAACTCACTTGAAGCGGCTCCTCTCCTCCAGGTCAGCAGGTGGCTCTGTGGTGATGAGGCTGACCAGTTCCTGCATGCAGTAGTCCTGGGAGAGGAAGAGGAGCAACCGACGGTTCTGGGCCTTGCACTCCTGCAGGACGTCGTCCTCTTCCATCAGTTCTCTGAGTGTCACGTCCTCCCTGTCCAGAAGCTGGTCGATGTGGGAGGTGGTGTGCAGGTCAAACTTCCAAAACATGGTTGCCGCTGGGACAGTGGACACGGCCCTGTGCCCGAAAGACAACACGAAAGTCAAGGTGAGGGAAGATAAGAGAAGATTGGACAAATCCATGTTTATTGACACTATCAAATTCTTATTTTTGAATCTTTTTTTTAGCTGAACATTTTGGTAAGAACCCATCATTCTTCATGGGTTAATAAGGTGCATCCTGGGGATTTAATGTTTATTATATGTAACCTTTTAGATACAAATGTTTTTACTGCACACCAGGCAACTGATATTGATCGTCAAAACTTGAGTTACTTATGTTGACAAGAACGTCATCTCTCTCTCTCTTGTCCACTTCATCATCATCATTTTTACCTGTGACAATGTTCAGAGAAGGACAATGCTCAGACGTACCAGTGGATAAAATGTGGATATCTTTAATCAGACCTCCCCCACGGGCAGGCAGGCATTTGTGTTTGTGCAGACAACAGAGAGTGTGGTGAGGCCTGGCATTTATCAGCATGGGTCTCCTCTTAAAACGCAGGCCTCTTTAGGAGATGAGACACTGAGAGGCTCACCATACCCTGCACAGAACAAAAAGAGTAGAAAGATAAATAAAAGAAAGACTTCAAGTTCCATCCTATTCACTAGACTGCATGATTATTTTTTTAACCCTCGATGAGTAAGAACCTAATAAAGAATAAAAATGTTTCTGCGTCATGCATCTAATAATTCAATGCAACCACTGTGGCCCTTAACATGTTTACATTATTGTCCATATAATAACAGAACTGTGGCCCTTAACATGTTTACATTATATTATATACATTACATTGTCCATATAATAACAGCAAGTGAGGAAACATCAGCAAACAGGGATTAAAGTCAGAAAGATTGAAACTCAATGATTAAATACACAAAAAGGTGGAGACAAATTCAAAGTTTCCAACATCAACCTACCATATATGATGGAATTTTGTTTTTCCTTCACCTTGTGAAGAGTGATAAGCAATGTCACAAGCTTAAAGTGTTGTAGTATAATATCCATTGTTGTAATAATTAATCCCTGGGCCTGGATACAATCATGAAAAATAATGACCAGTTTGTTTGATTGGCATTTAACAAATTCCTCAACATGAACCTGAACCTCAACTTGAACAAACTCTGGAAAAAAGATGTGATTAAAATGTCTTAACTACATCTCCGTTACTAAGCAACCAAAGAGGTGTTAAAAAAACAAATAACACACTTTCAAAAATAGGGGGTTGTAATGGAGAACAAACATTTGATGCTTTCATGACTAGGCAAGTCTGTTTACGTTTGTTTATCCTATTATGGTTACTGTGGCAGTTAATCTCAGAAACTCTACACCTGTAGTGTCAGGGAAACAAAAGTGTGTCGCTGCCAAAGAAATTCAACAGACCTGGACATGGACAAAACATCACCTGGTACTAACTTCCAGGGACTGATTATTTCAGTGCCTTTTTCCAGTCCTTTAATTTTAATGTGCACACATTTAAATGCTTCCTAAAAAAAGGAAAAGGAAACCTAAAAATGTTGACTACAACCAAACAACTCTTAGAGAACATGTTAATGATTTTGGAAGTATGGCTCAGACCAGAAATGAAAAGCCGTTTCCTTTTGTTCCTTTTCCCGTGCTACCATTACAGTACATGCAGCGGCAGCAGCAACAGCAGCAACAGCATGAGCGGCAGCAGCAGCTTCCATCTGGCATACATTTACAGAGCACACAAGTGCAGTAATAACCTGTTGAATGCTCCCTGTGGACACTGAGCAGGGAAGCAAATGTTCCACTTTACATTAAATACAGAATAACCAGGAGAACCCCATCCCAAAAAACGTTTTTAGCATTTACACATATGTACCAGTGAATGAAAACAATGAATAAAGTTCAATCTGAGCTAAAAGAGGAACAATGGCACACGTAACAGCCGTTCATGGAGACGGGCTCTGGGCCAATAGCCTGTCTGTAATTAGGAAAACAAAGTCATTTCCAAATGGACTTTTTTTGGTCTTCTATTTTACCAAGATCCGTGAAAGCTCAGCACTGGGGCAACAGAGTGGTCATCATGTTCTTCTGCCTACTCGGATGCTGACATGCACTGGCAAATGATCAACCATCCAGCACCGGTGCACTTGAGTGGACAAACAAAGGCTACAGTTAAGGTCAGCCCACTGCTGAAGTATGGCACTCAGATGTACGGTCTATGTTCAGTAAGATGAAATATCTAAGACGTGCTACAATGACGATGACACAAAATTTGATAAAGTTAGCAACATCAAGTGTTTGCATAAGGAAATATTTCTTATTATCATTAGGTTTTTGGACAACCATCAGACAAAAGAAGATAAGTCAAATGTGTTTGATGCCATCATTACTTGGAAGGAGTTCTGCTCTCTCATTAAAATATAATCATCTAATTACAACAAATTACATACATTTGTATATTAAAGAAAAAACAAATTAATTGAATTGATTGTCTGTACTCAACAAGTGTTCCCTCTATCTGCTTGACACACAAAAAAATCCCCTAAGTGCCTTTATCACCTGTTAATGATTCTGTCACAGTTCAATACCTCTCTGCAAATAATTACAATTAGTGACATTCACAATAGGGTGGGGGTTCAATACCGTCCAATTCCCAAATCCCATGTAGATCACTATCTGGACTACAATCACTGTGATGACCCCTAAAGAATTTGCTCACAAGATTAAAAAATTGATGTTTGGCTGATGGTATCCACAACCAGTGTTCAATGAAGATTAAAATTTAGATTAATATGCATTTTATATGCACTTATCAAGAGGTTACGAACGAGAATGTGTCAATGGTAGCCACGGTGCTACTACGAGATGTAAGCCGAGCTGCCTTGGCATAAAAAAAACACATCAACTGACTAGCAGCTGAAGCTCAGATTTCTGTTTACTTCAACTCCGGTAAACGCATCTCGAACGTAGATCGAAACGACACCGTAACAAGAGTTCTCGCGGTAATTAGGGCCATCACCTATGACAGACAAACAAGGGGGAGCGCTTTGATCCATGGGTAACTAACTAACTTATTACTACAGGCGGCGCTGTTAAAAGTAAATCCGAGGCGGCAAACCACCTCGCTGCAACGGCCTTAAGCAAACTCCAAGAGCTGACCTCAACAACACTCGTTGCTCGTAAGATGGTCACTACATGATTCAAATCCAAATGTAAGTCTTATAATATGAAACACGGTAGTGGGGCAAACAGATGGTGAATTTACTCCTCTCCCACTGGCCCTACATTAAACATTCCGGAAAATGTCGTTTCCTTGATCAAATGTAACCAGTTAACCTGATTGCCAAACAAACAAGGTTCTCGGTCTTAGTCACCACTCAAACAGTAAGGGCAGTTCAGTTGCCATTACACTAGTTCCTCCTTTGCACTGATTAGCTCATAAGCTAATAAGCCACTCATAGTAAACAAGTAAAGAGCAGAGTTCTCAAAGTAAATTGGTCCCCAACTTGCGTTGAACTTTGTCGTTGCGACTGCAGCGTGAATGCTAGCTACTCTATCGAACTTAGCACGATTTTTTTCGAACAAAACTTACCTGTGACAAAAAAAATGTTTTCCTTTCCGCCTGTGTTGAACTGTTGGGGGAGTTATGCGTCAAACACCCAGCTACCAAGTCACTGCTAAACCAGCTAACGATTAGCGGCGACTGTTAGATACCATGCATTAGCCTGTGTGTGAATAGTGATTTGTTTTGAAGAAAAGCTCAGTCAGTCGGGCTCAGTCTGCGACAGCACTGTTAGCACAACTTAGCTTACACAGCCTAATGTTCCTCTGGGGTCGATAAAATAACCAGTTACTCGGTATGAGTAGCTACTCGACACTCAAAGCAATTCTTGTTGTTCCAGATATAACAGGTACGGCTCGTTCTCACGCACAAAGTAATTCAAACGCGAGGCTAACTTTAGCTTGCGAGACAGGAAAAACTCAGTCATATTTTTCGAAATCAAAATGGCGACTTCGGCAACGAGAGCGCGCAGCAGAGCAAGGGGACGTGCATCGACTTCACAGAGAGCCGTAAAAAGATGGAACTACAATTTTAGTTTTAGTCTGTGGTCAAATTCAGGTTTTTGTTTTATTAAAAATACATTTCTTACGTGTTATATAATGTGTTTGAAGCTTTGTCCTTAGCTTTTCAAGAAATAAAACGAACTAACCCTTAACTATAAGTTAATTTCACACAGACACAAGTATGATAGGTACGCAGTGGGTTCAATTGTATGAAATAAAAAACCCTACCTTTTACTTAATGGCTTTATGCTCACCTTATAGTACATTAAATATTACTTAAATTAAGTGTGTATTAACGCTGCGAGAGCAACAGTTATTAAAATTAAGTTCTTGAAGTGACTCTTGTCAAAGTTGATCCAAATGGAGGTTAAAATGATCTGTGAGAGGATTAAGAAAAATCTGTATGAGAGCAATGCATTTAATCGTCTAATAAATGTGTATCTCTTACGCAGTCTCCATTTAACGATGCTGCGAGGAGTGTTTCCCCATTAGGGGAAGTACAATTCAAGGGATAGACTTTCTCACCAGGTGACAGTCAGTGTCTGTGTGTCATCTACGGGCTAAAAGTGAGTTACTTTCATATGTAATTTATTTTTAAGTAAGTGAGAAGAGGAATTGAAGTGGGTCCTGAAAGCATTGGATTACAGTATTTCTTCTTCTTTTTTTTTAAATACGGCTGTGTATATGCCAGTCTACAAACTGTGCAATTTGTGTTTCAAGTAGCACCATACTATAAATTGCTAATTAATTTATCTTTTGTCCGGGTTTGAAGCAGCCAGAAATGTGATTGTCTATGACAGAGGTCAGGTAGAATGTGTTCAGAGGATTGTGGAAAACATCTGTCAAACAATTCTCCGCTGCAACTTCAGCCTAAGTCATTGTAGAGTAGAGGCTGCCAGACCCACTAGTCACACGACTCAAGTGATATAAACGAACACAGACACACGCTGTTTAACCATGTAATAGTCAATACTGAAGAAAATACATCGCTGATGTTATTTTCTTTATAAGATTTATATATGTTTGCCATGTCTCCTGTGCGAACTTTAAAATGGAAAACGCTAGCTACAATATTAACGAATGTTCCGCTAAATATTGATAAATCATTTTAACGTATTAAAAGTTAAGAAATTGACATTAAGATTCATTCAAATTGTCTAACCAGAATTGGTGTAATAAGGACTTATCTTTTTATCAGAACATTTTGAACATGCAGTGATGTTATTAAAAGCAGTTTTCTGTTATTAGACATTTTTGTCGCTTGTTTTTTCTTTCTTTGATACATTTTTATATCTTTAATATGGAGTATTTTGACCTTTTTGGTTCGTGTTATCATGTTCTAATATATCTTGTTTTTTGTTTTTTTCAAATTTCCTCATTTTATATTATTATTACACTCTGTTATGTGTCTGTCAAATGCTATCTTACCACCTTCGCTCCTCTTTTGCCTATTCTCCTTGTCGCCCATGCTGTCCCATAATACATTGCGGCTACTCGTTAGATCATGGACCCAAGCGGTAAGGAAAATGTTTGCAAGGGCCGACGCTTGCAACCTTGTTTTGTGTGTGATATTTGTCCTCCCGAAAACAATCACTGCTGTTACTTTTATGCCGACAACGACATGCCTTCGTATTTTTTGCGACTTCGCTACCGCACCACGTTAATTCCCACAGTAGCGTTAAAAGCTAACTTAAAGCTAGCTCAGTTAGCCACCCGTTGAATCGAGTTAAGTCACTTCTGCGAACTGCGAGTAAACGCTTATAAACAGGGAAATATTTGGTGTGCGATCTGTGTAGCAGCTGAACTATGAGCCACGACTGCAGCAGCGAACAACGTACAGATTAAGCAACATTTAAGCCTTAAAACGACTGTAAGGAACACGGGGCGCGAAACATACATCATTAGTTGGTTAGCGTAATGCTAACTAAGCTGCTGTCATGATGTTATTGAAACGACCAAAAATCTTCCATACTACGATTGTCTTTACATTTTGCCATGTTAATATCAATTCACTGGTTCAGTTCTAGCAGAGAATCTGTCACTATGTGCCCTATTTAATCCCATCGAGCTTGAGAAAGGAGTTGCAGTTTTTCTTCATTGGTGTGGATTGTCACGAACGATTTCAGTTTGACTTGTCATACAATACAAAAAGATGCCCCGATCCTACAATAGTATGGTTCTCTTTTGTTTATTTACACCAATGTACACTGACACCATCTGTGGCTTGTTTACTCGTAAGTAACTCATTCAACTGAGGAAACAAATAGCTGGTTATTTTGTGTGTGTGTTTATATATATATATATATATATATATATATATATATATATATATATATATATATATATATATATAAATGTATGTGTATATATATATTACACAAAAGTCAAATAAAAATACTCAAGCCAAATAAGGTTATTTCTTTCTTGAGTTTGTCCATCGAAATATAGCTCATTTTCTGTAATGTCTTGGTGTTTCTCTTGCTTGTTAACAAGATGTGCATGCATTTTTACAACAGCTTTTCTGTAATGTCTTGGTGTTTCTCTTACTTGTTAACAAGATGTGCATTTTTACAACAGTCTCTTTCAATCTGTAGTGTTCAACAACAAGTACCCACAGAATATCCATCTTAAATAGCCCTAAACGGGTGTTGGTTTTGTCAAAGCTGGTTAAATATCTCTGCTGTTACTTTCCTCTTCACAGACAATGATCTTCAAGGAACCGATGGCTCCGGGAATTTGGGCGGACCTGATGTTAGGAGACGAATCCCCATCAAACTCTTGTCCAAACAACCTTTAAGGAGCAAACCTCCACCACGTACCCAGAGACTCCCTGGCAGGCCCTTCAAAAATGAACCTGGAGAAGATGGTACGCTTTTTTTCCCTAGCTCACAATGGTTTCCTAAAAAAAGTCACATTTAACCTGGAGGTCATAAGGTTTCTTTTATGAACATTATGAAAGTCTGCTTAGGAATAAAAAGTCATTTTGTTATTAAAAACACAATAGGTGAATGTATTTGTATTGCTGTATTTATCTATATTTGTGTGTCACTGTAGTTTTTGACATAGACATGGACCACTGGAATTACAAACACAATTACAAATAGATTAAGGGAACATGTGTATTATGTTAATGTTTGCCAACAGAGGGCATCACTAGAACATAATGTTGAATGTAATAGAGTATTTGGAATGGACTTGAGAAATATTGTATGGAATCCTACAATATTTTAAACCAAGGTCCACCGGGCTTCACACCCATCACGTCTGCTGTTTTATCGCTGACCCCACAAACGAACATTCGTAATTGACCTTTTAATGCTTTTGTCTCACAGACAATTTCGGCTTCAAGCAAGAGGACAGGTTTGAATGTGGCACCAAAGCTGGGGACGTGTTTGCCAATCAGAGGAGATATCCCCAACCTCTGTTTTGGGACTACAAGGTAGATCCAGTAATAATACAGATGACTGACTGCTGCTTGTTGTTATGAACTAGTGTTGATTCAAGTCCAGACAATCAGATTGGTCCTTGTGTTATTTATCACTTCAGCTTGTGTGAATTAGTGCTATTGTGTTTATCATAATGTTTTTTTTACAGTTGCATTTATTAGGAGAAAGGGATGAAGTACCGATTCACTTCTGTGACAAATGTGGTCTCCCTATTCATCTGTATGGACGAATGGTATGTCCTTTACTAATCCTAATCCCTTAGATTATGTGCTGAAGTCTAACTTCTCACTTTTTCCACCACAGATTCCATGCAAACATGTTTTCTGCTACGACTGTGCCTTGCTTCATGAGAAGAAAGGCGACAAAATGTGTCCTGGGTAAGAGAAAAAAAAATGTCTTTAGGTTGTTAAAATGAGCAGTACAGACTCAGACGTCTGCGTCTAAGACAGGTGTGTATGAGTGGTCGTGTGATCTGATTCAGGTTCCTGTCTATCAGTGGTTCCTTTACTCTCACTGCAACATTCCAAATTTGTAGTCAAATCAGTGCATTTCACTAGTGTGAGACAAAATTGGAAAAAAAAAATTCCTCCTGCCCCTTTAAGAGCTGCGGGGTCCCCTGGTGGGCCCAGAGTCTGGGGTGTCTCTGATGTGTTGCTCTGTTTTCAGCCTCACCCTCTACAGCTGCACAGATCCAGTGCAGCGCATCGAGCAGTGCCAGCGCGGGTCTCTCTTCATGTGTAGCGTCGTGCCCGGCTGTAAACGCACCTACTTATCCCAGCGGGACCTGCAGGCCCATGTCAATCACCGGCACCTGCGGGCCGCCAAGTCCTCCAGCGGACGCCAGGAGCCCGTGCACCTTCCACCTCCGAGCGAGGCCCCCGATCGTTTCCGCGTGCCACAACCCCATATGCCCAAAAACCACGTCCACCTTCCCAACCCGCTCCAGCATGGGGGTCATGACCCTTACAGTCAGCCGCCACCGCCCAGCGCTCATGACGCCCCGCCGCCGTCGTCTGGTCTCGGCCCTGAAACATTCCGCATCTCCACGGTTACCACCCGTAAACACAGCAATCTAATTACCGTGCCCATCCACGACGACTCTTCTTCGTCCCGTGAGCCACACCCTGGTGGGCCGGGCCCGGGGCAGCCCCCCCACCACCACCCTGCAGACTATCCCGGCCAGCCCCCTGTGGTGCCCCATTCCCACCACATGATGGCACCACCACAACAGCACTTTGGACCCCCCCTCCGCCTCCCCCTCCCCCTCTCAGTCACCCGATGCAGCACCCTCCACAGGGCTCTGGGACGCCACACATGGTGTACAACCAAGCTCCTCCCCCAATGTCCTCAGCTCCCCCGCCAATCACTCCACCACCGGGCCACATCATGGGCCAGATGCCCCCCTATATGAACCACCCACCCCCAGGACCTCCACCACAACACAGTGGCCCTCCAGTCAACGCCCCCCCGCCCCATCACTACAACCCTAACTCGATGCAGCAGTTCCCCGAGGACCAGGGCACTCTCAGCCCCCCCTTTAACCAACCAGGAGGCCTCAGTCCTGGCATGTGGCCGGCTCCGAGAGGACCCCCACCTCCACGTATGCAAGGTCCTCCTCCCCAGGGACAAATGCCCGGACACCACCCAGACCAGGGCCGCTACAGGCCGTATTATCAGTGAAGTTCCAGCTGATTGGATGGACAGCCTTTCTGTGTCATTTGTGAATAATGTGATAGTGAAACCTCAGGGTTCCAGGATGTAGACTTTTCTTTTTAATTCAACTGTCCAGAAACAAATGTGTAGACGGAGCACATTTTAGTCAAGTGTTTTTAGCCTCCAACTGAACCGAGCTCTGAACTGGGAACCGATCAAACGTGTCCCCTTTTAAACAGCTTGTGTTTCTGTGTATATGTCCCTCAAATCCATGCATATGTACAATGAAATATGTCCAATGAGTCTGAATAAATTTTTAACAACAACTTCCCACCACACGTTTGTTCTGCTGACGCTGACTCAGGAACCTGCGTCGTTCTCAGTTTGATGAGTGTGAACGGGTCATGATGGTGGTCTGCGCCCCACCTGTTGGTTTGGTTTTTGTAGCTGATTGTTCCAGGTCTTTCTGAAGTTCTTCACCAGTGTCTGTGGTTCATGTTGTGGTTCCAACAGTTCTCACAGAGATGTTTAGAAGTCGCTCTGTCCTCGGTGTTTACAGAGTGATGTTTTACATCAACAGGGTTGAGAAGAACTCTGCTTTGACCTTTGACCTGTGTGACACTTCCTTTTTTCCATGTCTTATTGGCTCCTCCCCTTCTTCAGGTGTTCACACCATTACACATTTGTTCAAATATGTGGTTTTATTTGTTTCATGGTGTGGATTTACTTGGGTTGTTACTGACCTCTGGTGGACATTAACGGTCATAGTGGAGATGTTAAATCCTGTCTCTGTACTGTAGGTCTGAGCAGGTGATGAAACTGAAGCCTCAGTAACTGGATTCTGTTTTTAATGTGAGCCATGGTTAAAATATTGAAACAGTTTTCATTATAAAAACAGTAGCAGAACCAGATGTTACAGTATTTCTTTTTTCTATTTTTTTTTTTTAATATTTGCCTGAAGTATGAGCATCTTTCTGTAAATGAAAGAGTGAAGTTGGAGTTGAAGAGAGACGGAGGATCTGGAAAAATCAAATCTTTTTGCACGTCTGATGCGAGGCGTCCGGAGACTGAAGCTCTTCTACATTTTAGTTTGGTTGAACTGTAACAGAAAAGAAAAAAAAAGAACGTTAACCCTTCATTTCATTGACTTCATTTACGCTGTTGTTTTTGTGGGCGGAGTCAAGCTGAGCTGGTCAAACTCTAACCCTTCATTTCATTGACTTCATTTATGCCGTTGTGGCGGAGTCGTGTTCAGTCTGTGAAAACTTGTTTCTTACGCTCACGCCTCGATTTTTGTTCTTGTGTTTTTGGAGCACGTGCAGAACGGCGTCATGAACGGTGGGGAAGAACATGGACGTCACGATCTCATCGTCAAAGAAGAAGCAGTTGTGTAATTTCTCCAGGATGTTCACTGTGAACACAAGGTTTGACATTTTAGTGGTTGGTCCAGTGAGTCCCAACCTCTGCTCCACGGCCCCTCAGTGTACAATTATCCACTTTCACCTAACTGGGCTGAAGCTTGTTTGTTTTTTTTAAATAATCTTTCTTTGCTTGTTTGTGCAACAGTGACAGTCAGTAAAAATAAATAATTAAAAAGTGAATTAAACTCACAATCGCATGAAGTGACGTAAACGTCCACATGAATTCGGATGAACTCCTTGATCGCCTGAAATGATGAGAAGAGATGGAGTTAAATGACTTTAATTCAGTTGATTTGTTATAGACAGAAAAAATGTGCATTTGATAAAATTGATAAAACATTTGACTTTATATGAACTTGAACATTTTTACTTCCTGTAATATTTTTGTGTAAGACCTGATTTGGAGGGAGGAAGTTGAGGGGCGAGTCTGCTTTTTGGTTCACTTCCTAGTTGTAAATACATTTTAAAACACCAGGGGGCGGAGTTTTTATTTCTAATTCTTTTTCACTGTACCATTTTGAGTCCCTTCAGAGCTGAGATGTCCAGGAAGGAGACAGCAGAGAAATCCAACACCAGGCTGTGGACGTCCACTCTGGGAACACCGATGTTGGTGGGAAGATCGGCGTTCCAGTCCACGTGGAAGGGAAGTCCTGTGATGTCACTGGGCCGGTCCAACTCCTCTGTGTTCGTGTCGGGATCATCATCCGATTCACTGGTCACACCTTTCTGTTACAAATACACACTTTTTAACAGAGGTGGGGGGACAAGGGGGGAGGACGGGGGGACGATGCAGTCAACTGACAATTTCTTACACCTTGATGAATGATTCATTTTTTATAACAACCGATGAGAAATGTCACGCATCTATAACGGGGCATCGTTACAGCACTAGAGAAGGAAATATCACACATTTCACAATAGAAGTCATGGAGGAGGAGGAGGAGGAGGAGGAGGAGGAGGAGGAGGAGTCAGTGAGCTTCCTTCCAGCGTGTTCTTCCCTCTGCCTCCTCGACCTCTTGTTCTCACCTCGGTCATGTGATGATTCCCTTCCTTCCACAGTTTACGGAGCTTCCTGAGTGCCTTGTTCCGTTTCCTCAGAACTCTGAGAGGATTAAACCCAACCTGGACAGTGGAGGTGTGTACTTTAAAGTACTCTGATAAATACACTGGTGTGTGTATACGTGTGTGTGTGTGTGTGTGTAGGTGTGTTTCACCCACAGCATCAATTAACTTTTTCCTGAAGAATTCTATGTTGGCGAAGAAGATGGGAGAAGGAATCCTGAAGATTTTTATCCCCTCAGGTTCAAATATCTGAGGAAGAAAATGACGTCAAATTCCACAGCATCTGTGAAAATGATTTTTAAATGAGACAAAGAAGAAAACAAACAAAGAAACAAACAAATATTTACATGCTGATAGTCTTTGCGGTCCCTGTAGAGGTCAGTGTCTGGGATGTTAGCCAGGACGCAACAACGAGGACTACGGAGACAGAACGAAGACGACGGGACATTATAAAATATTGGTTAATGTTTAGTTAATGTTTTTAGTTGATGGTCTTTCAAAGAGAGGAACGTTTTCAGCACCATTTGTGATTTTCTTTTTGATATTTAACCGATTCACGATGCATGATTATAAAAAAGAAAACTCCAGATTTAGTTGATAAATAAACGTTTCATTACAACTGAGTCCTGAAGACCACGGTGAGCAGTTCTATCCCCAGGCCCACAGCCAGACCCAGGTCCAGGCCCAGGAGGATGGAACCCACACACGTCCCCACCCACACCACCTGAGGACGGAGACATCAGAGTCAACGGACCACAGGTGAAAACTCAGCTCTGATATTTGACCGGTCGTTAACTGGACACGTACACAGTCGGGGACGTCTCTCCTCCCCAGGTACAGGATCTCTCTGAACTGCATCAACATGCCCTTCAGGTTAACGATCACCAGCGCCCCGAGGACCGACTGCCGTCGAGAAGAAGAAGACAGAACATGTGAGTTACCTTTAATTCTTAATTAATAATAATGATGTACTGATGGATACTGATGGACTGATGGACTGGTCAGTGACTGGTCAGTGACTGGTCAGTGACCGGTCAGTGACTGGTCAGTGACTGATGTTGACCCATCGTCCTGTTGATCATTTTGCTCATGCTGTGTACTGTGCGGGCGGACAATAGAGGGAGCTCTAACTCACAAGCTGAAGACGTTTCACCTCTAATGAGACGTCCTGCAGCTGTAGCTAATGTAGTGGGGAGTGGCTGAAAAAAATCTTACGAGCGGCGCCTTGTCTCACCCTTGGAAGGGGCTCCAACAGGAAGCCAAGAGCTAAAGTTACGATCATAGCCATCATGGCTGAGATCAGACCTGCAACCTGTGTTCACAAAAATAAAAAAATTAAATAAAAGTTAGTGTTTTATTTTATTTGAAGATAACACGAGTAGAAGGAAGTAAATACAACAGGGATAAAATAAAATCTGTAGAACTGTAACTCCGACCCTCGTAAACCTCACAGTCCGGAGGCGGATGATTTTATTTTTGTTTCTCACCTGCGTCTTCCCTCCTGAACTTTCTTGTATGGCTGTTCTGGAGAGCGCTGTGCTAGCTGCGAAACACCTGAAGCTGGCTCCGAATATGTTGCTAACTCCAAAGGCTATCAGCTCCTAGCATGAACGAACGGTTAGGTTAGAGATTAGATCCACGATCCAGTCAGAAATCAGGATCTAGAAGTCGGCAGTCGGTGATTCTCCGGTTTGTCGGGCGCGTGGGGGGGTGGGGGGGTGCGGGGGGGTCATGTGGCCCAGTCATGTGGCCCAGTCATGTGGCCCAGTCTGGATGGGACTCGTTCACCAAAACCATGTGTTAATGATGTTGTTCAGTGAATAATTAACATCCAGCAGAGCTGATGTTGGTAAATAAAACACACCTGATTGCCGTCGATGGTGTAATCGTGTTTGATGGAGTAAACTTTGGCCACGGAGAAGGCGACAGCGAAGCCCACTATGGCGATCGGAAAGGCCTCCACAGCGCCCTCTTTCATGATTTCCACGCTGGGTGCTATCGGAGACTCGTACCTGGAAAACAACATTTTATTCTGACGTCTCTGGTGTTACCTGACGGCCGCCTCACCTGCTGCGACACTTACCCTCGAACCATTTTACCTACGATGTCAACGTTGAACCTCTTCTCGAAGTTGAAGCCGTAGGAAACTCCACAGGCAATGACCGTCTGTGGGAGGGAAAAAAAAGTTCTGGGATTTGTCCATATTTCTAACTCAACACATTCATTTGTGTGAAACAGTTGTAAGGTCGCAGGTTCAAATCCCCTCACCATGATGACTTCTATAGGAACAGGAACAGGAAGTCTGCTCTTGTATTTGTCGTTCAGCTCCTTCACAATGAACACGACGGCCATGATGATGATGGACATGAGCAGGTCACAGATGTTGGTGGAGGTGATCTGGACAAAGATCTTCTCCAGGGTCTGGAACACAAGGAGGTCGTGACAATCTCTGGAAACGTTACATCCAGATTATGGAAACACTTTGTGGACGTGATGCTGATTAAAAAGAGTGGAAGAAAATATCAATACACTGAAGTACTGCAATATTTTAATGCATGAATATTTTTTCTCCCCAATTCCCAGTCCAATATTCCTGGTGTTGATTCATTTTCTTTTTCTTTTCTTTCTTCTCTAGTGAAAGTTCCAAATGTTCCAGTGTTAGTAACCTGATGTTTAGATGGAACATCAGCAGAGTCTTTACTATATGATCACACCTCCACCTCCAAGTGTAGATAAGACAAGATAAGATAAGACTTTATGTCTTCCACACAGTTGTTGCAGCAGCAGAAAACACAACAAAAAAACCCCTCAGATCTCACGCCAGAAGAAAACCACGTCTCCTCCCACTCTTTAGTGAAAGTCGCTCCAGGTTGGACTCACGTATATGATGGACAGCGGTCCACTGATGCCGGGAACTTCCAGCCCCAACACAAACTTCAGCTGGGACACCAGGATGTGGACGGCAGCGGCTGTGGTGAAGCCAGAGACCAGTGTGTCTGAGAGGTACACGACCACGAAGCCCACCTGCAGGAGACCCAGGCCCAGCTGCCGAGACAGGAAGACTTTGAGGAGAAAAGTCTGATTTCAAATATAAAAAAATCCAAAATAAACAAAGTCCAGTCAAACCTGGAAAACCCCCATCAGGAAGGTAACGGACGAGGCCACCAGGACTCTCTGCTGGTCCGGAGTCAGGCCTTCAAAGTCTGTGATGTTGGCCGGTGGCGAGTTCTCCGGGACCAGACGGGTCACCACGGCGCCCACCATGAGGCTCAGGACCGGGAAAGATCCTGAGAAGTTGGAGAATGTTTGGATTAGATACGTGGACCAGTGGTTCCCAAACGTTTTCTGCAGCGCCCCCTACATTACACAGGACTGTTGTCGAGACGCTGCCCCCCCGACACCCAGCTGTTCCTTCAAATCTTCAAAAAAAAAAACCAACTATAAAATGACAAATGAGTTCAACTTCCTGTCTGAGGAACAAATATTGAAAATAAAAAAATGCACCTGAAAGTCGAACAGACTCTGAGCTGTTTTTACATCTGATCTCAGCACTTCCTGTTTGTTGACGTACCTACTGATATGTGTCTCGAAGTACCGAGGAAAAAGTACGTGAGTACAGGGAAGAAGGCCGTGTACAGGCCGTAGCTGGGAGGCAGTGAGGCCAGCAGGGAGAACGCCAGTCCTGAGGGAAAAAGGGCCGGTTAAAAAAGGTTCACCTTCAGAATAGAACAGTCAACATCTGTGTCAACAATATTGAACCGGGGCGTCCTCCAACCTAGTGGTTGTTTATGGCTGTGATTCACAGCCTCGGAAAATATTCAAATTTTACATAATTTGTTTGAAAACTAGTTAAACATTCTTCCACTAGGTGGCAGCAGATGGCTATAAAGTAAAAAAAGAAGACCTTTGTGGGTCTTTCTTGAATTCCTGAAAGTAGATCAAGTTGTGTTCAACTAAACAGGCCCAGGTTTTGTACCAAGTAAATCGACACATATATATATATATAAATCAAATATATATATATTTCATGACACATACTTTTGTAGGAGTGTAAGAAAATATCAATATATGTAAATATTGTATGTTTTTGTAAACAATTAACAGTCACATATTCATGTCGTTGGTTCGTTTTTTTCCTGTATCCCACCACACACCCGTACGTGTTTGTTGGTTTTTTCCAGTGTCACTTAGAGAATCTGATTCCTACTCTGATAGTAGTCGTGTACAGCGGTCACGGGGTCGACGTGGTGCGCCTCACCTTGCATAATAGCAACCAATCCGGTGCTGATCCCGGACACCACATCCCCCAGCAGCCATTCCTTCAGTCTGTAGCTCCTCATCCAGCCAATAATGGGCAGAAGAGAGAGTGCAGCATTCTTGGCCCGTTTTGAATCGCAGCTGTGCACAGACAGTGGCAGTCATCGGGTGTGATCAAACGCTGGTACTCCCTCCTCGGAGTACTCAGTACAAACCTACCTCAGATACTCCTTGACGTGGTCCAGGATGGTTTTACGAACTCTGGAGACCTTCTGGTGTCCCTCGGCGAAGCTGTCCTCGGAGTACACCTGCCTGGTCACCACGTACTGTCTCCTCAACGTGGCCATGGTCGCATCTCCCAGGTGTGAGAGCAACGTCTGGACGCAGCTCCTTAAAGTACCTTTGTCCCCTGATGTTCCCACTGGGCGTCTATCTAATCTGCCGCAGATCAGTTTAATTCCTACCACTATGTGTTGCTGTTGTCACTCTGTGTTCAATCATTAACAAAGACCATCGAGAATTCCCATAGATGAATGTGTATCTGTCATTTATCTCCATATGGACAGATAAACCCCCCTCTGCCCCCCCCCTCCCCCCGCTGCTCATCCTGGGAGGGGCGGCCTCCCAACCTGGAGGTCGGTTCGATTCTCGTTCTAGATAAGAACGATGTGAACGATCAAGGTGTGATTTACCATCGACATCACTGGTCCGACGGCATGAAAACGACTGATGGTATTTGTGACATCATAATGCAGTAAAGTTGTCAAAAACAGCCGTGACGTTGACCTACTGCAGTACTGCGAAGTACTTCATATCAGATGGTCTGGTCCAGATTGCAGTAAAGTTGTCAAAAACAGCCGTGGCTGGTCCGGACCAGAGGAACGTTAGTGTCTGCAACACAGGTTCTCAAACTGCGGTACACATATCCTAGGTGGTCCATGGGCTCCCTCTAGTGGTATGAAAGGGGAATCTGATTCTCATTAGTTTCAGGGATGTGTGTGTCTGTGTTGTGCAGGTGTATCTATCCCTGTGGGGACATTTGGTGTTTTTGTGGTGAGTTAGTTGATAAATACTGCAGTTCATATACTGGCCTTGGCTGGATGGTAGTCTGTAGTACTATATGTACACAGAGTGAGGAGTCGTGAACCGTCTCTGTCAGCCTGACACTTTTTATTTCTCCACTGACTCGACATCAAACTGAAAAATAACCAAATAACATTTTAACATCATTTTTTAAAAAATGACACAGTAAAAATAAATCTGCAAATTCACGAACCTAACATTTAAATACCAGGACTATGTACAGAATGAAAACAGCATCGACAGAACTTTGTTTACATTTCAGTAAATAGTAAATAAGTCAAAAATTCAGTGAGTTTTTGTACAAAACGTCTTCATCCAGGATCTGTGGTCGCCACGGTCGGACCTCAGAACTTGGTGTAAGGATCAGAGAGCAGGAAGTGTGGCTCCGACGCTGCGACACCTCCGTCTCCGTCTGCCGTCCTCAGACTGCCTCCAGGATAGTGAACTGTAGCTGTGGTTGGGATCTGAAGACAACAGAGAAAACACTGGGTTTGGGATGAAGGTCAGCAGCCGACAAACAGAATCTACTGTATGTGTTTAAAATATATGTGTTTAAAATATATGTGTTTAAATGGAGCGAGGCGACTGGAAGGTGATGAGTTTGAAAACCACAGGTAGAGAATCCCGAGTGATGGACAGGGCAGCAGAGAGGTGAAGAAAAGAGTACAATGTCTCCGTGTTTGTTGTTTTAATTCTCGACATCAAACGTGTGCACTGGGCAAACGAAATGAAATAAAACAGGAAGTGCAACTGGACGTGAACCTTTCTCTTCAACTTTGACCTTGACCTGGATGACTGGGAATCTCCACAGACAGGAAGTGTGTGTTGATGCTGATGTCCTTCGTCTGGTTACCTTGGTGAAGTTGGAGCTCCTCTCCGTCGCCGTCTTCGTCGTCTCTGGGTGTTTGCTGAGGATGTGCAGCATGGCGTCGTGGAGCGTCAGGAAGAAGATGGAGGGCTGGAGTTCACCGTCAAAAAAGCTGCAGTGGTGGAGTTTCTCCAGGATGTAAACTGAACGTAGGGAGAAGTTCGTTAAGGTCGACGCTGAGCAAATATGTACAGAATATATATTTGTACAGCCTGTATATTTACACAGTATATTTCATCCTCAGTCGTACATTTACAGCTGTGAAACACCGACGTCTGCTCGCCGTTACAGCAAAATGTACACATTTGATATTAAATGATGTTAACAACTAATCATGACCGATGATTAATCAGGACTTACTGACCATCACAAGAAACGATGTAGATCTCCACTTCAACACGAACAAGTTCTTTCAGCAACTGAAATATGCAAAAACAAAGAGAGAAAATGAAGGAGTAACATGTGTATTTGTAGATTTAGAAAAGATGGAAATCAATGATTTGCTGTAGAATCTTCTGAAAAAGATTTCCCAAAAAAATTTTCCCAAAACTTTTTTTCGAAAAAACATTTTTTCAAAAAGAAATTGAAAAAAAAAATTTCAAGAAAATGTTTCAAAAAATTTTTTTCAAAAAAAAATGTTTTCAAAAACAAAATTTTCAAAAAAAATATTTTGAGATTTTAACCAACATTTTTCAAAAACTGACTAATTTTGAAAGACTAAAGAAAGACAGAATCAGGAATGAGGTCATTAGAGGGACAACACAGAAAAAGACAGAGAAGCCAGATTGAGATGGTTTGGACATGTCCAGAGGAGGGACAGTGGAGACATTGGTAGAAGAATGTTAGAGATGGAGCTACCAGGTAGGAGAAAGAGAGGAAGGTCAAAGAGGAGATATATGGATGTAGTGAGGGAGGACATGCAGATAGTTGGAGTCAGAGTAGGAGATGCAGAGAACAGGGAGAGATGGAAATCAATGATCTGCTGTAGCAACTACTGAAAAAAAAAGGGACAAAGCCGAAAGAAAAAGAAGAAGAAAGAAAGAAAATGTAGGCACAGAACTACTTCAGTACTGCGTATACTGTGAGTATTAGGTGGATGTATGTGTGTACTGCAGGAACAAGGTTGTATTTTTTGTAAAAAACTAAAATCTTCCTAGTGGAAGTTGCGGCCACCGTCGGTCATGCGACCCACTGTTTGATTCCTATCCACTTGGGGGCGCCCCCGCCTTTAACAGCTCTGAGGAAGGCAGCTGTAAACCACGTGAAATGAAGTACCTGTACTGTACACCCCCACCTCAGTACTGTATGTGTGCAGTACATCCTAAAGTTATTTTTAAAGACCAACATCTGTGAAAACTGCCCCCCTGTGGTCGTGACCTGACTCACCGTCTTCAGTCCCTTCAGGGCCGAGATGTCCAGGAAGGAAACGGCAGCGAAGTCCAGCACCAGGCTGTGGACGTCCACCTTAGGAACAATTATGTTGGCTGGAAGCTCAGCGTTCCAGTCGATCCGGCCAGGAATATCCTTGAAGTCCGTGGGCCGGTCCAGCTCCTCCGTGCTGCCCTCGTCCTCGTCCTCGTCCTCCTTTATTGGTCCATAGGAGGCGTTGAGGAAGCCGTTCTGTGACGGGAGTTTTTCAACATCTCTTAGATTTAACCCCGACAGAAGAACATCAACAGTCTGATGTGGTGTAGTACTTTATACTGCATGTACTGTGTCAGGAATCCTAGAAGTCTGAAGACTGACGACTCAGACGACTTTACAGTCGGGGGATTCATAAACCCTGGATTAAAGGAGTTCCTGATTCACTGTGTGACTCAGGAACCACTTTATGACTTTTAATTTATGACTTTTAATTTATGACTTTTTATCCCTGACTTTAAATTCATGACCTTTGACCTGTGACCTGTTTACCTACCTCTGTGTTAAGCTAACAGCTAACTGGTACAAATCCTTTTTTCCCAGCAGCCTGTCACTGACAGCTGTGTATTTGAACTAGTATTTTTATGCAGACTTTACTACTTCATTAAAGTGTGATTTACTGTGATGTGTGACGCTGCTGGAGTGAAGCGGTGTAAACAGGAAGTGCTGACAATGAGTCCACCAAGGTGGAGTGTTTATATGTTACTGCTGTTTCCTGTTGTTTCCAGTCGTCGAGGTCGGGTCGTCACTTACTGATGTCCACTGCAGGTCACCTTTTTCCAAAAGCTTCCGGATCCTTCTCAGGGCCTTGTTCCGTTTCCTCAGCACCCTGAGTGGGTTGAACCCGACCTGAGGACGACAGACCACGTCATGTGGGTCAAAGGGCGGGTCGTCCACTAAGACAGCGACCGGACCCGGTTCTGACTGGTACTCACAGCTTCCACCAGTTTGGTCCTGAAGAAGTCAATGTTGGCGAAGAAGAGTGGAGACGGAATCCTGAAGATCTTCACGCCGCACGGCTCGTACATCTGTGGGTGTGGTCACAAATACTGTGGAACATCACAGAGACATCCATCCAACCATCCAACCATCCATCATCCAACCACCCAACCATCCAACCAGCCATCCACCCATCCATCCATCCACCCATCCATCCATCCACCCACCCATCCAACCAGCCCCCCATCATCCATCATCCATCCATCCACCCACCCATCCAACCATCCAACCATCCATCCAGACATCCATCCAACCATCCATCCAGACATACATCCATCATCCATTCATTCTTCCATCCGTCCATCCATCCATCCATCCATCCATCATCCATCATCCATCCATCCAACCATCCATCCAACCATCCAACCATCCAACCATCCATCCAGACATCCATCCAACCATCCAACCATCCATCCATCATCCATCATCCATCCATCCAACCATCCATCATCCATCATCCATCCATCCAACCATCCATCCAGACATCCATCCAACCATCCAACCTTCCATCCATCCATCCAGACATCCATCCATCCATCCATCCATCATGATGGCGACCCAGTCCATCCATCCGTCCATTCATCCATCATGATGGCGACCCATCCTACATTGACGTAGTCCTTCCGGTCCCTGTACAGGTCCGTGCCCCGTATGTTGGCCAGAACACTGCAGCGAGGACTAGACAACAGAAGACAAGAGTCAACTCCAGCCGTGGGCGTCACCGTCCACCAGTGACCAGCGACTAGTGACCAGTGAGCAGTGACCAGTGACCAGTGACCAGTGACCAGCAGAGTTACAGCCACTCACAACTGAGCCCTGAGGACCACGCTGAGCAGCTCCACACCCAGACCCACGGCCAGGCCCAGGTCCAGTCCCAGCAGGATGGCTCCGATGTAGGTGCCCAGCCAGACCACCTGTGTGGACAGTGATGGTTCCGGTCACCGTCTGGACAGTTGACCGCACTAGAACGTTCTACGTTGGCCATGAACTCACACAGTCCGGTTTGTCTCTCCTCCACAGGTACGGGACTTCACGGACCTGCAGCAGCATGCCCTTCAGGTTGACGATGACCACCGCTCCCAGCACTGACTGTTGAAATCAGGGGTCAAAGGTCAGACATTAGCAGCCCACTCTCACCTGAAGGTCAGTTAGTTCTTCCCGACTTCACCTTGGGCAGAGGCTCCAGCAGAAACCCGATGGCCAAGGTGACGATCATCACGATGATGGCTGAGATCAAACCAGCGACCTGAGGGAACAGAAGGCAGAGGGCCGGCCCGCGGCGCAGCGGTTGGTGCGTTTGTCGACCTTTACCATAGAAACATTCCCACATGGGGGCGCCACTAGAGATTTTGGGTCCCATGAAAAGGACTTTTTCTGGGCCTCAGCTGCGACCTCCACCACAGGTCAACTGTTCCAGATTTTACAGATATTTCACGTCTTTTTTTTTTTTTTTTACCTGAGTTTTGCCCCCGGTACTTTCCTGTACTGCACTCCTGGACAGAGCTGTACTCGCCGCGAACGACTTGAAGGACGCTCCAAAGATGTTACTGACGCCGAAGGCGATCAGTTCCTGTTGGAAATGAAGAGGTGGAGACACTACGTCACCGTGTCCCCCAGACTCCCCCAGGTCTCTGTGGTCTCATCCACTCACCTGGTTTCCGTCTATGGTGTAGTCGTGTTTCACTGAGTAAACTTTGGCCACAGAAAAAGCCACGGCGAATCCAACGATGGCCATAGGAAAGGCCTCCACCGCCGTCTCCTGGCAGGTTGGGGGCCAGTGGGGGCTCGTACCTGGGACAGGACCAGGTTAGATGGAAGTACCATGAATTCTCTTCACTGGTTGGTCAGAATCAATACAGTGAGTGATTCACATTCACCAAAAACTACATCTCCCATGATGCACTACTGTTTTATCTTCACTGTGACCTGGACTGGACTGATATCACAGCAACAGGTGTAGTACTACAGATACTGCACTGTCATTGATGTCTGACTGACTGTCTGACTGACTGACTGTCTGACTGTCTGTCTGTCTGTCTGTCTGACTGACTGTCTGACTGACTGACTGTCTGACTGTCTGTCTGACTGTCTGACTGTCTGACTGACTGACTGACTGACTAACTGTCTGACTGACTGTCTGACTGACTGTCTGACTGTCTGACTGTCTGTCTGACTGACTGACTGACTGTCTGTCTGACTGACTGTCTGACTGGCTGACTGACTGACTGTCTGTCTGTCTGACTGACTGACTGACTGACTGTCTGTCTGTTTGTCTGACTGTCTGTCTGACTGACTGACTGACTGACTGTCTGTCTGTCTGTCTTACTGACTGACTGACTGACTGACTGACTGACTGCCTGTCTGACTGACTGACTGACTGTCTGTCTGTCTGTCTGTCTGACTGACTGTCTGACTGGCTGACTGACTGACTGTCTGTCTGTCTGTCTGACTGTCTGTCTGACTGACTGTCTGACTGACTGACTGTCTGACTGACTGTCTGTCTGACTGACTGTCTGACTGACTGACTGACTGTCTGTCTGTCTGTCTGACTGACTGTCTGACTGACTGACTGTCTGACTGACTGCCTGACTGACTGACTGACTGCCTGTCTGACTGACTGACTGACTGACTGTCTGACTGATTGACTGAGTCAGTAGTTTATATTTGTAGTATTACTGTTGATAAAACTGATCAGATGATCTGACCGTGGTCACATGACTGTGATGATGAAACTGAACACTAAGATAAACTGACACTGAACTTCACAGAAGTGATAACAGACCAAAGACTCCTCACCCCCTCTACTCCCCCCCGTTCCTCCCCCCCGTTCCTCCCACAGTCCAAACCCTGTCTTCTTTTTTCACTCTAAATCAGTGGTGTTAAATCCCTGGCCTGGGGACCACTTCCAGTCCACAGACCTCCCACATGTGACTACTGTACATGTTTATAATCATTTAATTTTAACTTCAGGAATTTTTTAAAAATTATTTCAATGTTTTTTTTTATTATTAAATTTTTCAGTTGGTCATTTCAGAATCACAGCTGCAGAAATACTGCACAACATCTGTGGAAAAGTACTGACAGGAGATACTGTCCAATCAGCATCCACCACAGTGACCAAGGCATTTTAGTCCCGCCCCTTTGAAGCTGAGCTTCGACAGCGTTTGATTCGCTGCTACAGGAAGTAGAATGGACCAGTCGTGAAGTTTAACGCTTTTTCAGGTAAATTAAATTTTTCTTTTCTGCGATGACTTGACAAAAATGACAAAAAAAAAGTCTCACCCTCGTGGAATATGGCCGACGACTTCTACACCGTATCTGGTCTTGAAGTCAAAGCCGTAGGAGACGCCGCAGGTAATAACGGTCTGCACAGGAAACAGTATAAAACTGGAACTATTAACAAAAAAACAAACACCTGAGGAGACCTGGAATCTTTTATCTCCATGAACACGAGCTCGTTAATAAAAATGAGCTCATAAAGACTGATTATTTACTGTTGCTCTTGGCGCTCCCGTGGTCATAAATGACCACACGTGCATCATTAGCGTTATCAAGCCCAGCGCTCACGCTGAGATATGGACGGAGCTATGGAAAGACTGAGGAGGGCGTTGCTCAAGGACTCTCACCATGATGACCTCTATAGGGATTGGCACCGGCAACTTGGATTTAAATCTGTCGTTTATTTCCTTGACAATGAAGACCACCACCATGATGACCAGGGAGATGACCACGTCACAGACGTTGGTGGAGGCGATCTTGTTGAAGATGATCTCCAGGGTCTGAGGAGACGACAAGACGGTCAGTCAGGTCGACGGTCGGTGGACCACCCAGGGGTTGCCACCCCACAGTTGAAGACCTGGTTTCTATGGCGGTCTCGCCCGGGACCGTTCTCTACGTTCCGACTCTACTCACGTATACGATGGACAGCGGTCCACTGATGCCGGGGACCTGAAGACCCAGAACAAACTTCAGCTGCGACACCAGGATGTGGACGGCAGCGGCCGCGGTGAAGCCAGAGACCAGGGTGTCGGACAGGTACGTGACGACGAAGCCCACCTGCAGGAGGCCCATGGCCAACTGGAAGAGACCCCCGGGTCAGACCACAGCCGAGGGGAGGAGGGGAGGGGGGGGGGGTATAAACAGTGTTTAATAACCTGCATGAGTCCGACCAGGAAGGTCACCGATGAAGCCACTAGGACGCGCTGCTGCTCTCTTTCCAGGCCTTCGAACCCCGTGATGTTGGCGGGGGGGCCGTCGTCCGGGACCAGCCTGGTGACCACGGAGCCGATCATCAGGCACAGGACCGGGAACGGACCTGAGGACCACGGCACGGAGGTTCATGTACTCGAATGACAAAAACGTTGAAGAGTTTGAAGACCCAGAGAGAAGTTCACCCTCACCCACAGAGATGTGTCTGGAGGTGCCCAGGAAGAAGTAGATGACGACGGGGAAGAAGGCGGAGAAGAGTCCGTACCAGGGGGGCAGGTTGGCCAGCAGGCAGTAGGCCAGACCTGCAGCACATGAAGAAGAACCTGAGAGACGGGACCGTGATTGGTCGACTGAGCTCAGCTGACATCAACAGGGAGTAGTTTATTAGCGCTTCATACTCCTGGCCACCAGATGTCACTAAAGAGAACTGTCCCTAATATTTCATTTGTTATTTATTCAGTTCTTGTTTTTTTTGTTCCGATCTCTGACTTCCTGTTCTTCTTCAGTCAAACACTGAACTGTTGAAGTGGAATGTAGAACGTGATACTGTCTCCCCCCCCCCCCCCCCCCCCAGGGTGAAGTTGCCCCCCCCTCTTATTTACCTTGCAGCACCGCCACCAGTCCAGTACTCAACCCTGACACGATGTCACTGAGCAGCCACTCCTTCACAGGATAGATTTTCATCCAGCCAATGACGGGCAGGAGAGAGATCAGGGCGTTCTTGACTCGCCTCGAGTCACATCTGTGTACGATAAACAGACACACGTAAGAAAAAAAACAAACAAAAAACAAACAAACAAAGAAAAACAATTAATATGTAAAAAACAAACATTCCCAACTAAATGAAATGACAGAAACCAAACACCTGGGTCGTGGACCAACCAGGCTGTTTGACTGGTCTTCCAGGGACTGGGCTAAAAAAAACACACAATTTAATTCTCATCACTGTTTATTTATTATTTAATTAATTTGAAAATTTGTCTTTGGATTTTTGTTGCACTACAATTT